GGTTATATTGGTCGTATTATTATTTTCATCGTTACACATTAAAATCTAGAAGTTTAAGTTTCTTGTTTTTTTTTTCCTTCACGTTCCCAGTGGAACATAGGGCTTCAAGCTAATTGGCTTGAAGTTTCTGTAGCAGTGTTTATTTTACAGGATGGGGTTGCTAGCCTCATGCCCAACCTTTCCTCTTTACCAGCATTATTTCTGGCTCAGCGAGGTAAAGGAGTGCGTCGGCCGGGGGTCGAACCCCGGACCATTTTCATGGTCGGCGAGCATCCTAACCGCTATACCACCGACGCACTTAAGTTTCTTGTAGTACTTCAATATTCATGATAAATGCATTTTCCAAGTTAGTTCCAATGAATCTGTTAAACACTTAAATTGGATGGCTTATATCATTTCAAATAAAGAATGTGGTAATAAGTTGTTTTCCCAATGACTGTATCCCAGTTTGTTTGCTTGTTTGTTCGCTTAATTTCACCGTTGTTATTATTCCCATATTTATTCCTCGTGTTCTGAGTCGAAAACTAGGCTTCATCAGTACATCGACATCCCCCTCAATTCTCTGCCATCCCTTTCAACTGCCTCTAAGATTGCCTAGATGCCACCTTTGTGTTTATTGTCGTAATCTCTTGAATCTCATCATCGAACCGATGTTCAATTCCTATTCAGCTTCTACTCTGGTATGTGGTGTCACTTGAATATCTCGTAGGCATATATCGAATCCGCACTGTCACAAGGTTGCTTGTCGCTTATCCTTTCTCGTTGGCTGGCCATCTTATCTTCAGTATCTCAAGCAAATGCTACTCGTCATGAAACTTTGCAGTGGTCCGTTAGAACTGATTTTTGGTGACGCGTGTACCCCAAGTCTGTGAATCATACATATAGAAGCACTGACTCGATATGTCTTTATTTTATTCCTTCACGTTCCCAGTGGAATAAAGGGCTTCAAGGTAGGGACTTGAAGTTTCTGTAGCAGTGATGTTTGTTTTTACGGGATGAGGTTGCTAGCCTCATGCCCAGTCTTATTACTGGCTTAACGAGGTAAAGGAGTACGTTTGTTTCCGGGGATCGAACCCCGGACCAAATGAGGCGTGGTCGGTGGGCATTCTACCGACGCTGTGCCACCGACGCATGATATGTCTTTAATTACCAAAATCCACTAAACATTTTGCAATATCACATTAATGTGTTATTTTTTAATTTGTATATTAACTCTAGTTGCAGACAGTCTACAGACTAAGTTGGAACCCATGAGATAAAACGATATCGATAAATACACTGTAAATATCGTGTTTTTAGTTTATCAAGTGAATTCATTCTTAGGTCACGGATTGACATTAGTTAGAGAACTACTGAAAACAAGGGAGTACTGGACAGTGGTTTCGTCTCGCTTTGCCACTCTTCAAGGAAACACCCCTCTTGTCTAGAATCGAATCCAGCACCTTCAGTTTATATGAGGCCACTATAACAGGACCAATAAAGCTTCACTTTTGTCATTTCGTGATTTATAGCTCAACCGCCAGCCAAATGCCATCGACTAGTCCCTAACTAGAATGAAATAGTTGCCCAGTACACTCACTGGTTCTCCATGGTGTAATTTAAAAATAATCAAAATCCTACCAACCAACAACCAGGAAATTCAATGTATCAAACCAACAGACTATTTTCGAAGTTTGCACTGAAGGTATTGTCTAGGAAGATAATGAAGGCTTCTCAGTTAAATCATGCCCAAGTCAACGAACCCAACTACATCCACTCAAGCTACAAATCTCTACTATCATGTTGTCAAAGTATCACATAGTTTATAAAATACTATCAACAAATCTGTTTGTAGACAAATTTCAACCAGAATAATTTTACAACCTGCAAGCAGAGTATCACCGCTCAGTTGTTTCGTCCTAGCTCACGACTCTTCATAAGTGCTTACTCACTATCCCATCAAGGATGGAACTCGGGGAAGCTCAAGGAGTACTGGATAGTCAGCTGTTTCGTCCTAGTGCTTTGAACTCATCAGCAATATGCACCTGCCATCAGGGTTCGAACCCAGTAACTTCCTCTCTCTCTCTCTCAAATCAAATCCATAGACTATTCAGCCATGGGATCCGGGGCTCTACGTTCATGAGGCCATATAGATACATTTATAGACTTCTGTTTTCTCTATAAGTTTTATTAGTCCAAATCAGTTTCCTTGTATTATAACATCTTTTGTTGATTTTGTTACAAACAGTATGTTGAATGGGAAACTGTTTTCCTCCCGTTAGATGAAGATTGTTGTATGTTGAATGTCTTCCACCCCCTTTGGTTGTTTTGAAAAAGTGTTGTTTTACAATACAAGAGGAAATGTTCTATGTTTTTATTGCTTTTGTTTAAATCTTTTTAATTTTATCTAAAAATATTTTTTATTGCTTCTGTAATTTCAACTGATCATGATCTCCCTTTCGTTCAATTTGAATTATGTCAAAATCATGTTGTTGTGTTTTTTGTTTTAAGGAAAACTGTCATGTTTATTCTCGAGTAGAATTTCAAAATTCAATGTATTTATGAGAATAAGAAAGAACTACTGAGTTATATGAGTTACATGAATGTATGAGTGAGTACGCAGTCAACAGCAGCCTGCCTTAATCACAGAGGTTCCTCTAAATTTCTATTCCAGCATAGTATATATTAGATTCTTCTGTATTTCTTTAGTAATAATAATAATAGTTTTATTCTGTATGTCGGTGGTTCTGCGGTAGAGTACTTGCCGACCACTCTTCATGTGGTCCAGAGTTCGATTCCCAACCAGCGCACACCTTAACCTCCCTCAGCCGGTTGTAGGCGGCTCGACGAAAAAGGAAAGTTAGGCGTGTAACGGAAGCAGACATGACACTTAGTAACTGGCTATGCGGGTTATTGGGATTTCATGCTTTATCTCATCAGCCTCACGGCACGGAACTGCTGTATTACAAGGTGACTGCCCGTCGGGTTGTTGAACTCCGCCACTAATCGTTCAACCAACACCCTCCAGGTCTCTTCATCACCTGGCTGCTCCAAACTATCGTACTCGACATTATCTCGACCTCTCATCAGCGTCTTCAACACAACTGCCTTCGCCGTCTCATCTTTGACGCCCACTTACTCAGAGACGATATCGAAATCCCTCAAAAAACTCTTTATTTCTCCGTCTTCTTAAGAAGCCGGCCATGGTATCTTCATTATCTAAAGACAACGACACCAAAAAGTAACATCTGATATGATTACAGCATTCCTCTAGGCAAAATCACTTACGACCAACTAACTGAGGAAATTCAAATCGTTAGTGATCGCCTCCGTTCCCCCTGTTTAAGTTATTTTTTAAAACGAAAGTACCACCAGTTCCTTTCTTTGGCTGTATCTTAGATACTCACTCCAATTCTGTGCACTTCTCAAACGAAAGAAAAGGAAAAATATCGTTAAGGATTGAATGTTGATTCAGATAAAGCAACATGGCGTCATTGATATAAGTATAAAACTTGGACACTGTGTTGGTAGAGTATAGCTCCACTAAAGATAAGACTTTACTTTGATAAGTCTCACAGTGTTACGCAGTAATATTAACTGATGAACATCTTTCGAGCACAAACTATCACTACTCATAATCATATCAAGTCACTACTCACTCACACAACTTTCTTACTGCATTTATATACATGAGTGAAAAGCTGATTAGACATTTGAATAAAAATCAGTATAAGATAGTGTACATTCAGAAATAATAAAACTAGTGTTATCAACCAAGTACAGTCAGATGAGAAATAAGAGGATTGTTTGTATAGTCATAATAAGTAACTTGTTGGAATGTTGTGATGTACGTGAATTGAATTGAAATAGAATTTTGAGATTATTTATTGTCCTCCTCTGATTTGACTGACTGGTGGTAATTATATCTTCCGTGCATATCTCTGGTATTTGCATTGAGTCATTTCTGTTGCATGTGTTGGGTGTAGACTCGATGAACCTGGCTGGATTCAGTAATCAACCTCTCTCTCCACCTATCTAGATTGCTTCTTAGAATCTTAACCCTCTCCCACCATGCTATTGTGTGGTTGTGTATCAATGCATGCAGTGCAGTGTAGTGCTGCGTGCTTTTTTCTAAATTAATTATCTTCGCAGGTGAGGTCAATCATTCTAAGCTTAGCTAAATTCTTATGTTCCGACAATCTGACCACCCCCTACCTACTAGTTTGACCTATGTAGTTGACCTCACTCACAGTCATTGGGAGGTATTTTGTAAATTATATTATTTTGTTTAATTGGGTCCACCGACAGGGTACTTTAACCTACAGAGCTTGTCTTACGTGAGTGAGTTTGTAGGTTTGATTGCCACCCTAATTCCTGCTTTATTGAGAATCCTACGTAGGGCCTCAGATGTCCCTTGCTTATATGGTATAACGGTAGTAGGCTACTGGGAGCGACTGGCTGGGAGCAAACCGACGAGAAACGTATTGCTCAACAAATATGTAGAAAAAATGGAGATGGGTTGGGCACATACTGAGGAGGCCGTCGAGTGACCTTCCCCAGACCATCGCCGGAGTGGAATCTCATTAGGAAACTATGAGTGGGTCGTCGATGCGAGGGTCAAATGGAGTAGATCGTGCGAAGATGAGATGACAGCCTATAGGTACTCGTGGGGCCGGATGCAGAGGACAGAATGAAGTGGTGACGCTCTGTTGAAGTCCTATTTTCCACTAGGAACCCAAGGGAACATTAATAACAATAATAATTTCCTGGGTATTGTGTTTTTGGTTAGTTTGTTGCACTGCTAGAGTTCCTTATTATTTATTCTTCCTGGACATCTGATCTTAAGCATCCAGGGACGGGGATATCTCTTGATGAAAGGCTCCAGTAGCCTGTTGGGAATGGTTTCTGTGACAGATTATTATCTTTATTATCACATTATACTATTATTATGTTATAATCGCGTTCACCTCTTTTTATTGTTCTTTTTCTCTCGCATATACTCCCGTTTACAATGGATAAAGCGTGCACAAATGATGGTCATTCACAACAAACCTCTTCTGTTGTCGGTTTAAAACTACCTGATCTTTCTTCGTCAGCAACATCATCTTCATCTTCAAATACTCCGTCTACTCCATCATCTTCATATACAAATAATATTTTGAAGAAAACAAGAGAATTACTCGAAGGATTTGATAAACAGGTGAGATTTTTATATCTTCCAAGGGGTTGTTTGTTTCTTCTGGTAAAGACAATATTGATTGGACACTAGTCAGCAACACTAGTGTGATGTGTGTGTGCGCGCGTCTAGTCCTTTACTTGGTGCAGAAACCTTGGTGTAGCCAAGGCTTCCTGTAGCCGATCGCCTCCAACCATATTAGTATCAAGAATTCGAAGTGCACCGTGGTGGCGCGAGCCACCTTGTGACAATCGTGACCACATTGCAAACTTGACTGACTGATAGAATTCAGTCTCCACACCAAAGATGCATTGATGAAGAGTTCAAGATTGGGACGAAATAGCTGTCTAATACACCTCTGTTTCTAACTGAGGTCAATTCATGATTGAAGTCAAAACTTTTAGGACTGGATATAAAGTAAATATGTTATGCAACAGGTATTTCTCTAATTCTTCTTCACTTCAAATTGAAGTATGCGCTAAAGATGTCGCCTAGTAGGGCGATGAAAGCTTCGCAAATTAACTATCCAGCTCAGAGAACACAACCACATCAAAAACTAGTCGAATTAATATTTTATGTTCACTGAATCACAAAATAAGTATGTCGTCTGGAGAAATTAAAGACTTTTTAGTGATGTAAGGAATTGTATAGAGGAAGCTTAATACTACTGATGAAATTCATTTCCCCACTCTCATCTCCCGGATTGTTTAGAAAAATAATCCTTTACATTCGTCGGTGGTACAGTGGTACTCACCAGCCACCCACGTCATCCGGGGCTGGACCTTCGTCTGATACACTCCTCAATCCACCTCGCTTAGCCGATAGGCTAGCTGAGTGAGAAAGTGGAGGTGAAGCTAGGTGTGAAGCTGGCAATATCACCTCGTGAAAATTAAAAACCGGCTTAAGTTTGTGGCGCTATGTTCCACTCGAAACTCGAAGGAATAAAATAAGTAAAAGTACCCTCCATCTCCCATCCGAATTATCCGGAGAGATAATTCTCCGTATATCCAGCTAACTTCATTTATATTCTTCTGTCAGTCTATATTACTGGAGAAATTTCTTGTTTTGATTTCAAAATTTAATCTCCTGAAGTGTGTGTTTTCTGTTCGCGTATCTTAATTTATTTCGCCTTATTTTTTGTTTCCATTGTGTATTTGAGGAGGGATTTGTGCTCTGACTTGTTGAAGTGTGAATTTTGAAAGAGGACGACGAAATGGTAAGAAGAAAAAAGCTATCTCCCCCATATACTGTTTTTTTTGACATTTCATAACTACATCTCATCTCTTGTCTTAAAAGCGAAAAAGAAGAAGAAAGGAGTTTTTTAATGAATTCACACTGTACTAGTCTTAAATCTCTTTTCCCTCTCTGTTATTTGTTGTAACAGTTTTATGTAACACAGTCAGTCAGTCAGAATGCTTGTAAGCCAGTCAGCCAGCCAGCCATCTTGATTTCTGTTGTCGGCATTTCAATCTCAGTAATTCTTTTTCTTTATTTTGTGAACAAAATAAAATAAGACAAATAAAGTTTATTCATGTGGAAGAAAATATGAAGGAGAACTTTTATTATTTTACTTTTTACTTTTTTCCCCTTCCCTTTTATTTTCAAATTCAAAAGAGGTGGAGGTGTGATACTTATTGTCTCTTTATTGTATACTTTGTGATCTTGACAGTTGAATTGTTCAAGTGAAATCATAATAAATTGATACATCAGTTAGAGAGGAGAGCATAGTACACTGTATGTCAGGGAAAGTCGTCCACTTCATTGCTTACTGAGGCTGGTGTACGCTGTCTTTTCTCCTTTTCTGTTTTCTTTCTTCTTGCGCGACTTGCCTCACTCTGATGATCAAATGAACTTTGTTAAGTATGCCGATGATCTAACTATTTCAATGTCTGTTAACTCCCAGCTAGACTGTACTAAAATGAACAGCTTTCTAGCAACAGTTAGCAGATGGTCTTCGTCTAACGGCTTTAAACTAAATCCTTCCAAATGTCAGACTGTTAATTTTAGTTTCCGATGTGAACGAAAGTTAAATGACTCTTGCAAAATCGATGATACTGATATAGAAATCAAGTCTGAAGTTAAGTTTCTTGGAATTATTCTCTCTTCTGACCTATCCTGATCCTCCCATGTCTTAGCGAATTCTAAAAGAATATTTCGTTTGACTTTTTACATTAAGAAGTTAAGGCACTCAGGCATAACCAACCCCTCCTCTTACAGTTTATCAACTCATGTATTTTACCCATTTTTCTTTACTGTTCACCCTTATTCTTTCTGGATTGCTTAAAAAAGACTATGTCATACTTCGTAGAACTCTGAAGACTGGCTGTCAGAAGGGCGATTGTTATCCCATTGGGCCATATCGTTGACATTGTCACTGATAGGTAATTGATGTCATGCAACAAATTCGCTAAAGGAATTTTGTCAGACTCTGAGCATCCACTGCAGCACCCACAGCTTCAACTTTGTGTCTCCTCCTCAGGTAAAACAAGGAGTCTTTTCAGAAGACTTTATGCACGTACATTTCAGTATAAAAACTCCACTATACCATATTTCGTGGTACGCAGTTTATGTGATGAAAATAGTGTTAGGCATGAACTAACTAACCTTCATTGTACTACTAAATAAACCATTTTTCCTCCATCCTTACAACATCAACCTATATTGTTATTCTTCTTCTTATGTTTATAATCCTCTCAATTTTCTGTTATAATTTGTGTTTTTTTTCATAAGTGTGAACATCATTTAAGCTGTATTATAACTGTTAATTTTGTATTTCCCCTCACCATGCTGCTATATCAACAGAATATTAGATTCAATAATCGATAACATGCTAAAATGTTCAAACTGGGTCGCCGATACTGTTTGAAACAAACTCACTGTTATTATTATTATTATATTTAATATTCTCAATTCGTACTTCGAATATTTTTGACCTTATATCGTAAATGTGGACAAATTCCTCTAATTAATTTTGTTTTAATTTTTTATTTTATTTATATTTTCTGAGTAAATCAGATGGAATATTGTGAGAAATGCTGAGAATTCCATTCTGTATTATAAGTACTGTTTTTGGAAGAACATAGATTATTATTATTATTACTAGATAGATAGCTGCTTCGCCTCTATATTTAGGTTGGCTCATCGACAGTACTCACATGTGACTCTACTGCTAAGGAGTATATTGCAGGACCATCAAGTATTGTTATTTTGTATTTGGTATCACATGCAACTTGGTGGGTAGCACCAGTCATGACTTTTCATGAGAATTCCATGAAAATCGATTACATATTCGGCCACTAGTGAGTAATAAATCACATTCTACGAGTGGTGGCCTACTTAAAACTTGGGCCACCAAAAACTTTCATCTCTCTATTGCGTATATTTTTCTCCCGCTTGGTTTGTTTTAATCGATTATGATATGACCTCTACTTATGGTATTATATACTCTTGTGTGTATTTAAGATGTTTTAAAGCTTCTGCCTGATTCATAAATTCCTAATAAACATTAGAAAAGGTGTGATTGTGGGGGTGACAACGTGTTCCAATACAACATGAGAGATAATTGTTCGTCAGTTATGTCCTTGAGTCTCAAAATGTACTTTTGAACATCTTACAATTGGCTTTCAACTAGATATCGTGGATTTCATGAAGGAAGGAGACAAAGCAGATAGTTATATAATAACAAGATGGTTTATGCTTCATCTCAGTGAACATTGTGTCACAGGAAGGATAAACCGTCAATGAATTAATATTTTACTTGAAGATATTATACGACTGGATAGCATCATGCAATAAACTCCTCTGAATATTCTGTACATTTTAGAAATACTACTGTCCAGAATAAAGATATTATTATTATTAAATTTCATGTCTTGGTATGTAGAGATTTGATTGCTTTCAATTTTTAAGTTTTTTCCTCATTAGCTGAACTATCTTAAAATAAGATGAAACAGCTGTCTGGTACTCTGTGGTTTTCAATGGTGGTTTTCTAACTCCTGTCAGTCTGTGATCTATCTCGAGTACAGTTGAATTCTGGTAAACCAGCAGTTGAAAATCCAATTTTTGTTATAGATACTTTATGCAATCAGTTGGTTCTTGATCCAATTCAAATACAAAATGATCACTTACCCGAAATAGTTTTTCTCACTGTCTTCAGTAAACTCAATGGGCACAGTTGCATTATTATTATTATTATTATTATTATTGTCTTTGGTTCGGTGTGGAACATTGGGCATCAACAGCACATCTCCATTTCATACTGTTCTCCACAGACTTCTTTAGCTGGCATTCCGACTGCCCATCAGCTGTCGTTTCCTCCTCACACGACCGCCTCCATGTCACTCTCGGACACACCCCCCAGTTCGTTGTTTCCCACTCGGGTCCCACTTGAGCAGTGGCCTGGCTCATGATGCCACTCAACGGTCGCCTGGCTGTGTGTCCGACTCATCGCGATTTTTTTCGGCTTACTTGTTGGACAATAGATTGTTGGTTGGTTCGTTCCCAGAGTTCCCTGAGTGGGTATCATTTTTAACCTTCTGATCTTCAGCGAGATAACTGTTGGCAAAAGTCTGCAGCTGGCTGTTAGAAATGCTTTTCGTGACATGCTCTCCAAGTTTCTGAGCCATATAGGAGCGCTGATTCTACATTGGTATTGAAAATCCAATTGCAGCAGATTTCCGCAGTCCCATCTTTTCCGTCTGTAGTTAAAATGATGCTTCCTACGTAAGTGAAGGAAGTGACCTCTTTCAAATTTCTTTCGTTGGTAGTGACTGGTGCTTGCTGTTGTTGCTGCTGGCTGATTATCTTCATCCCCTCTATCTTCTGTGTGTTCACTTGAAGTCGTCGTGTCCTCTACTGATTCGTGTGTCAAACTGTTCGTTTTCGCCTGTAAGTCTTCGAATTTATGACATCAGAAATAAATTGTCTGCAATTTCCAGATCTTCTAGAGTCTTCTTATTGGTCCCACTTATTCCTGTCTTCTCACTCCCAAGTACAGTGTACCGTATATAATCCAGTCTGCCACA